AGAAATTTGGAAGACAGCTACCTGGCCAATCAACTGCAAAAGATCCATATTTGTGCCCATTCCAAAGAAAGGTGATCCAAAAGAATGTGGAAGTTATCGAACAATGTTATTAATATCATATGGAAGTAAAATTTTGCTGATGATCATTCAAAAGCGGTTGCAGCAATACATCAACAGGGAACTGCCAGAAATTCAAGCTGGATTCAAAAGAGGATGTGGAATGAGGGATATCACTGCTAACGTCAGATGGATCTTGGCTGAAAGCAGAGAATATTAGAAAGATGTTTACCTGTGTTTGATTGACTACATAAAGGCATTCAACTGTGTGGATGATAACAAATTATGGATAATATTGCAAAGAATGGGAATTCCAGAACACTTAACTGTGCTCACGAGGAACCTATACATTGATCAAGAGGCAGTCATTTGAACAGAAAAAGGAGATACTATGTAGTTTAAAATCAGGAAATTGTGTGCGTCAGGGTTGTATCCTTTCACCATGCTTAGTCAATCTGTATGCTAAGCAAATAATTCGAGAAGCTGGACTATATGAAGAAGAATGCAGCAGCAGAACTGAAGGAAGACTCATTAAGAACCTGTGATATGAAGATGACACAACCCTGCTTGTTGAAAGCGAAGAAGACTTGAAGCACTTACTGATGAAGATCAAAGACTACAGCCTTCAGTATGGATGACACCTACACATAAAGAAAACAAAAATCCTCACAACTAGACCAATAAGCAATATCATGATAAATGGAGAAAAGACTGAAGTTGTCAAAGATTTCATTTTACTTGGATCCGCAATCAACACCCATGGAAGCAGAAGTCAAGAAATCAAACAACATATTGCATTGGGCAAATCTGCTGCAAAAGATCTCTTTAAAATGTTAAAAAGCAAAGATGTCACTTTGAGGACTCAGGTTTGTCTGACTCAATCCATGGTATTTTCAATCGCCTCATATGCATGCGAAAGCTGGACAATGAATAAGGAAGACTGAAGAAGAATTAATGCCTTTGAATTATGGTGTTGGGAAAGAATATTGAAAATACCATGGACTGCCAGAAGAACGAACAAATCTGTCTTGGAAGAAGTACAGCCAGAATGCTCCTTAGAAGCGAGGATGGTGAGACTTCATCTCATGTACTTTGGACATGTTATCAGGAGGGACCAGACACTGGAGAAGGACATCATGCTTGGCAAAGCAGAGGGTCAACAAAAAAGAGGAAGACCCTCAACGAGATGGACTGACACAGTGGCTGCAACAATGGGCTCAAACACAGCAATGATTGTGAGGATGGCACAGGACTAGGCAGTGTTTTGTTCTGTTGTTCATAGGATCATCCTGAGTTGGAACCAACTCAACAACACCCAACAACAACAAAGTAATGATCAAATGGACATCAAAATTTAAAAATACATTTACAGTAGTATCAAAGTAAAACAAATAGTTAGGAATAAATATAACAAAATATGTATAAATATAACAAAATATGTATAAGACTTATAGGCTGAAAAATACAAAACCTTTTTGAAGGAAATTAAAGAACTACCTGAGATATCAATTCTGTCCAAATAAAGTTATAGATTCAATACAATCCCAATCAAAATTTCGGCAGCTGTTTACAGGAATTAACAAGCTGATTTTAAATTTTATAAGCAAAAGTATTTAGAACAGCTGCAAACAACTTTGAAAAAGAAGAGCAAAGTTGGAAGACTTATACTGTCTGATCTCAAGCCTTTCTATAAAACTACAGTAATCAAAGCAGTGGGCCACTGACATAAGGACAGACATACAGATCAACAATATAGATAAGAGAGTCCAGAAACAGACCAACACATATATGGTCAGTTGATTTTCAACAGGGGTGCCATGGTAATTAAATGAAGACAGTCTTTTTAATAAATGGAGCTGGAACTATTGGACATTCACTTGCCGAATTAATCAACCTTGACCTTTACCTTGTACCATATATAAAAATCGACTCAAAATGAATCATAGGCCTAAATGTAAAATCTAAAACTATAAAACTTCTAGAAGAAAACACAAGAGAAAACCTTTGTGACTTTGGGTTAAGCAAAGATTTCTTGCATAGAATATAAAAAGTACAAACCACAAAAAAAAATCAATAAATTAGACTTCAATCAAAATTAAAACTTCTACTCTTTTAAAGAAATTGTTAAGAAAATGAAAAGCAAGCCCCAGACTGGAAGAAAATATTTTCAAAAAACATATTTGATAAAGGAATTGTATCCACAATAAAGAACTCTCATAACTTATTAATAAGAACACAAACAACTCAATTTTTAAAATATAGGCAATAGATTTGAACATATATCTGACCAAATAAATAATATGGATAGCAAATAAGTACATAAAAGATACTCAACTTCATTAGTCATGAAGAAAATGCAAATTAAAAACCACAATGTGATGACAATACATACCTAACTAAATGACTAAAATTAAGCAAACTGACAATACAAAATGTTGCTGACGATGTGAAGCAACTAGAACTCTCACACATTGCTGGTGGGAATACAGAGTAGTACAGCCACTTTAGAAAACAGTTTGGAAGCTTCTTATGAAGTTAAAAATACATTTACCATATGAATTAGCAATCCAGAGTCTAGACATTTACCCAAAAGAAATGAAAACATTTATCTACGCAAAAGCCTGTGTAAGATGTTTACAGCAGTTTAATTCGTGAAAGCCAAAAAAACTAGAAAAATCCAAATGCTCAACTAGTGACTGGATAAACAAAATGTGGCACATCCATACAACAAAGTACTACTCAGCAATAAAAAAAAGAACACACCACCGATATATGCAATAACAGAGATAAATCTCTAAAACATCATGCTAAATGAAAGAAGTCTGACACAAGAGACTTATTTCTTAAGGTAGACACATGCAAAAATGTTGATTATAAAAAAGATGGATAAACATGATATTAAAATTAAGAATGGTTATTCATCAAAAGATACCTTAAAAACAGTAAAAGACAGATTTAAGAACTTCTACAAGTCAATGAGAAAACCACAAACTCAACAGGCAAAGTGCATGAACAGGCATTTCTCAGGAAAGGAAACAATAAATATATAAGAAATGTTCGATATGATTAGTGATCAGAGAAAAGTAAATTAAGACGACAGTGAGATAACTTATTCAACTGGCAAAAATCAGTAAGTCTGATGATACCAAATGTTAAGAGATGACATGTCTCCAAAGGATCTTGTTTACATTGCTGGTGGGAAAGTAAACTGGAGCAACCACTTTGGAAAATAGTTTCAAATTATCCGCTAAAGTTGAACATCATTAGCAATACTCCACCATCAAGATGAATAAACTGTAGTACAATCAAACAATGAAATATTACACAGTAGCCAAAACAAATGAACTACAGCAATAAACAATACTGGATACACTTTAGCACTATAATATTAAATATATATATAAAGTGAGCCTCAAAAGATTACATACCTTTTTCTAAAGTTAAAAACATCTAAAACAAAACAATATTCAATGAACACGGGATTCAGGATAATAGTTACCTCAGGTCCACAGAAGGAAGGAGATGAGAGGAACCATAGGTCAGATAAAAACTCTTGCCAAGAGCCTAGTTTTTGTTTTGGGTGGTAGATTCAGAGCTACTTAATAATATTATTAAAAATAAGTAAGTATGTAAGTAACTAAATGAATGCATAAAGTAATAATGAGATTATGTCATGAAACAAAGATAAACTGAATTCAATGTTGTGCACCTGAGGTTAAAAAGGTTAAAAAAGAACAAAAAAACAAAAAAACGCTCCATGACAGCCCCGTAAAACCAAATGAGACTAACGAGGTACAG